AGTTGTTTTTATAGTATGGCTATAGTAAGGAGGGGGCAATTCTCCCCCAAATCTCCCCCCCCCTTTGTTGCGGGTTGGGGGAATTCCTGGGAGTTGAAGTCCACCCATCTTAAAGTGGCCAAGTTTGAAAAACAGTGGTCTAATGGAATGGGTGACTCCAACAAATTTAATCAATTAAATTGAATTTTGAAGACAGATGGTCACATTTACAGATTTGCTACACACAGACCCTCCATGCTTGAAGGCAGTTTACCTAAAATGGCCAGGAGCTGGGAACAAACACCACCGGGTTTTTTTCCTGCTCAGCTTCCTGGCTGCCCCTCCGGGCCATCAGCCATTAGAGGCAGCACACGGAGCAGAAACGGCATTTGGGTCTCAAAGGCTTATATCCGCTCGCTTCCTCCCTCCCAGCAATCGCCAAAGTGTCTGGAGGCGGCCGTCGGCCTCAACATCGTGCGCCTTCTGGAGGAGGACATCGGCCAGCTGAGGCACCACTTCCGCCGCCACCCCCATCACCAGCGTGCCTCCCACTGAGGCCAGACCCTGCAGACGCTGTTGCCCGCCGGCGGTGCCAGACCAAGACTCCCCAGATCAGAAGAGCAGCTGGAACCACCCCGACTCCTCCATAGAAGGCATTTCTGTACCACCAAGACGCCTCCAGAAGGACTGGGGGTCGGGGGGGCTGCAGACTGTTCTGTATTCCATCAGCTTTCCTCAAGACGGTGACTTCCAGATGCCCTGGGAATGATGGGCGCTATTCAGTAGTCCCGCACATCTGAAGGGCACCAGTTGAGGGAAGTTTTAACCTCAAAAGGATCCAGCGCATTGCTCTGGGCTCCCCATCAGGCCTTTCTGGGACTCCCCGTCTTATTTATGCCCTCCCGCTCCAAAGATCCGCGTCGAGCAAAATGCCGCATCTTTGCCAGCACTCAAGACTCGCATCCTTGCGCAGGACGCTCGCCAGGAACCTTTCACACATCCCAGAAGCCTGTTGCACCATGTCTGCAATTCTCCTCTGGCAGGAGATGGAGTCACTCAAGTGCCTCATGAAAAATGGTGTGCTTGCAAAATTGTGATAGCACACTATTATAAAAGGGCTGCTATATTTATGTAATTTATTTTAATCTCCTTGGATCTGAAATTAACACATTCAGGAGGGAGGGAAGCAGGGGGAGACCCATTATTTAAAGTGGACGGTATTCATAAAAATGTTATTTATTCACACACCCCTGTCTGCCCAGAATGGTTATAATTTCAAAAGGGAATTGTAAGTGAGCTAACCCTCTTGCAGTGAACAAACAAGGCTGACCTCTGTCGGAAGCGCCAGCCATGTGAGCAGAATTATTTATTTTGGATAAATCAGCGGCTGAACTGGGTCTGGACTCAGGGTCAAAGTATTCCAGCGGAGCTTCTCGGAGGATCAGGCAAAGGGACAGCCGAGAAGCCCACTTAAATGAGAATTATATAGTTTTTTATATTTTTTTATTCGTAATTGTTTTTATGTATTTATTCTTTTTAATGGTTGTACACCGCCCAGAGTCACTTTGTGTGAGATGGGTGGCTATAAATAAATAACAAATGGCTCTTGAGAGCCAGAATGGGGAACAGGGGCCAGGACCGAGCATTTGGTAAGAGACAGAAGCCTTCAGAAAGAGAACACTTTCCACTATCATGCAAAAATTGTAAAAAACGTTATAACGCTGTACTCCTAATTGTTTCGCAAGGCCAGTCCTAACAAGATACGGTGTAATAGACTTTCAGCTGTTAGACCAAAGAATATGACTCCATGTGACGGTTCAAACGATAATTGTATTTATTATTTGCTATCTTATAAACAGACATTTCAATACTATTTATTAAATTTTATACTGTGCCAACACAGCGAGCACCTACATTGTTGTTCTTTTATAACGTCCTAAAACCACAATCGGCCCTCGTCTCTGGGGGCTCAGAATCCCAGCAGGATCAGCCGGACCTCCAGAGCACGACCCGGGAACAATATCTGGCCGGCTTAACAAGCCCCAGCAGCCGGGCTCGCAGACCGGGCCAAAGCGGAGCGCGACCTTTTGTAACCGCAGCCGGCTAAGCCGAAACCAGACCCTGTTTGGGCTGCGTCCAGCGTGCAAACCAGGTGTGGAGCCAGCCCCGAAGCCCCCCAGGCTTAACTCTTGCTGGCCAGGCCCACGCCCCCCCAGATCGAGAACGCCTCCATTCTGCCACGAAAGACGGGTTCCGAGCAGCCCCCTCGGTCTGCCGCCTCGGCCGGGTTAGTACTGGAGCTCCCATCGGCCCCGCCCGAGCAGGCGGAGGGAAGAAACGGCAGCCCCATCTGGAAGGCCGGAGGTCCGGCCAGAGTTTCACACCCCAGACCCCTCGGCTCGGCAGGCAGGGTCGTGCCAGGCTAAAGCCCACCAGGGCGGTCTTGCTTACCAGGCCTTCAGCAGCCTGCCTGCCACTGGCAAGCGTCTCTCTGGCAGCAAACGCGGCACCACCGCTCTTGCCCAGGCTGCAGCAGGACTCGCAGCAGGTTCGGACGACTGCAGTCCCCGGGCCTGGCAAAAGAGGCACAACTGCAGTGCTGCATGACCCATCTCGGGCAGGCGCGGGCATTGTAAGGGGCACGTCCCCTGGACCTACACCAAGCATACAGGCGGTTGCTTGTCCCGAGGACGCTCAGGGAGAGAACTGAGGGACTAACCACCGCCCCCCTCCCAACTCAATCTAGCTTTCAAGGCCCCACTTCCTGGGTACCCGAACCTCGCCTTCCAGGCGGTCTGGCCAATCAGGGCCCACATCCTAAGACCGACCTCCTTCCTGTCTGCGGGAAGGAAGCAAGCAGGGTGTCTGTGGGGTGCGGTCAAAAGAGTCAAGATGGCAGACATGATGGTGCAATCAAAGTTCTGCCTTTTTTTATGTGCCACATACACACACAAAAAACCCAGGCAGAGCTTTGATTACACAGGCACAGCCACCACCTTGACTTTTTTGACCACACCCTCCGGACACCTCTCCTTCCTTCTGCAGCACCTTGAGCGCCTGCTTTCAATCCTGCCCACGGCGTCACCGGCTTTCAGCCCTGCGTCCCTCTAGGGATCTCCTGGCAAAGGACCCTCCTTCTGCCCAACAAGCCAAGAGATTCTTCCGCCACGGGCACGGCATTAATTACCTAGTTTCATTTCTGTCCAAACAGCTGCAAATCCTGCCTGCACATAAAGGCTGCCGAGAATTATTTTAACTTAATGTCAGCATTAATCACCCAGGAGCTAACGATGCATTGATGGGATTAGTAATTTCACTCCCCCCACACACATATGTAATTCAATTAAACACCGTCACTTTTTTCTTCTTTTGTTCATTTAAATAAATTAAGTCTTTCCCATCTGCTGCCAAAATACTAAGGGTTGGGCCAAAAGGAGAGAGGGGGGAAGGGGAAAATAAGGCTGAAGATTTCTGCGGCCCCTCTTGGGAGTGGGGGATCCCTGTCCTTGCCACAGTGAGACCCACGCAAACAGCATCAGACCCACCCAAAGAGAAGCGCAAAATATGACTGATAGTGATGAAGGCCCTGCAAACTTTGCGAGGCAAAGCAAAGATGGAAAACGGGTCTGGAGGCAGGCAACGAAGAAGTGCCCCTGAGCACTGGCGATGGACAGGTTTCCCTTCCTTTCCAAATGCTTGCCTACAGAAGACCTTGGCTGACCACCCCTGCAGCCAGGGACTTGGCCTCGAGGGTCCAGGTCGCCCTGGTCCTCAGCAGAAAGAACTATCTTTAACTACACATCCAGAGAGCAATATACCAATCACTGGTTGAAAGGTCCAAGGCTTTAACGGTGAACTTGAAAGCAAACAGATTTACAACATCTGTGAAATACAGCCTTTTAATATGCCCTATCCACAGCTGGGTTTAATCTCCAGCTTTCCTTCAGTCTCCCAAGAAATTTGTCTGTTTTGCTCTACACTTGGAGACCGGCCCAAGGAAGCGCTGGATTTCCTATTTTCAAAAAATGTATGAATCTGCCATTTCTCCCCCCAGCACCCCTAGACCGAACCTCTGCAGAATATCTTGGAAAGGGTCAGCGCTGGAGGCTATTCCTGGGCACGACTCTGCCCCCTCCCCTGGCTACGCATTTCAACTCCCCACATTCTCAGCACGAGTCGTGTTATGGGAAGCATTTTGGAAGCTGAGGTCAACACCTCTGGGGGATCCAGCTGGCCTAGGGGAAGGGGCAACCAGTCAGCTTGGATCCACCAGAACAGTGTGAAGTGTGACCGCCGAGCTCCATCAAAGTGGCTGGGCGCTTGGGCCCAGGTGTTTGGCTGATGCCTGCTCTGACTCAGAGGCATCAAAGGCCAAGGGCCGCAGTCCAGCCGGTGGTCAACCTCAGCAAGCAACGAGCCCCTGTGGCTGACCCAGCCAGCCGCCAGCGGGAGGAGTCAGGGACGAGGGGCAGAGTACCCAGTCAAAGGTACTCTGGAGCTTTGGGGAGCCAGGCAGAGGCATGCTGCTCTGCACCTCAAGAAGCACAGGCACAAATGCCTGTAATCCAGCCACCCCTGCATCTGGCCTGCTTAAGCATAGCTGGTTTCCTTTTGGGAAACAACTCACCGGCCTCGGATCCACGTTCCTGCACCCTGCTTCCCGCTCTGCCTTCTGAATCTCAGCTCTGACTCGGACCAGGCCATTAACCTCCTCGGTCTGCGGGCTCCTGGGCTGCCATAGACTGCGTCCGTATCTCCGCACCATGCTCCGTTTGGGCTCTCAACTGAACTCCAGCCCCCAGGCAAGCCCTCTTCCTACAAGAGGTGCCAGTGCAGCCTGGCAGCTTTGCTGTTAAAGAAGAGCCTTGTTCAGCCGTGGCACTAAGCCACAATGTGGTTTGCTTGATTGGGATCAGCAACTCCTGGAGGGGAAGCAGTTAGGACGGGAAAATTCTCCATCCACCAGCCGGTCTCCAATCTGAAGATCTATTGCAAGGAGGAGAGAAAGCATTGCAGGCACAGGGATCAAACCTTCTTTCGAGACCCCTCTTTGCGTTCTCCCCTGGGCTTTAAAAATTAACCCCCCTACTTTTGTGCAAACGGAAGTAAGCCCCACCGTATTCAGCAGAAGCTACTCCTGAGAAAGAAAGGGGTGCACGCTGCCTGCTATCCGATGGTCTGTCTTAGCACATGCTTTAAAACATGTTTCCCGTGTGGTAGACTGCCTTTTAAAAATAGCACTTCTGTCACATCAGACAAAAATCCGCATTATGGGCTTTGCACTCAGATTTATTGCCAAAAAAAAAAAAAAGCTGAAAGACAAACCAAAGGCAAGATTCTGCCT